GTATAACTTTATATGTTTAGACAATAATATGTTTAGACAATAATATATAAAAGTGTATACTAATAGTATTTTCTTTTGAAATTAGAGAAACAAACAGTTGTTGGATTCTTGTCGTTCAGAAACTATCCCATTTGAGACATTTCGCAGAGTACCAGTTAAAAAAACAATCGTGAGTATTAAGAGAGGTGGAAGTCGACTGTTTGATTTTAGAGAAAAATATTTCTATATCTGGTATCGGTAACCTTGTGAAGGAGAAAACGAAACCACATAGTGGCATAAATGCATTTTTTTTCGTTGTAGATTAGTCTTTCGGGTCTAGCTGTATTATTTGCATGTATGTGTGTATTAGAAATACTTTTCCCGGTTTCAATACTAACATTACTGACACCAATACTGATTTCAGGCAATATACTTAAGTTTTCTTTAGCAAAAACATCTGTAGGCTGACTGCTCAAGATAGTAATACTTGGTTATTAATGTAACGTTTATAAAAAGCTATAATCACTATAAAATAAATTTTCACTCCATTAAATTTCAAAAAAGTTTTTTCATTTTACTCACTCCACATGCTTTTAGTTTAGAATTGCTATGATCTTTGAAGTGTAACGTAAATTGCGATGAAAAAGAATTGTAATCTATTTTCTCACACAACAAATTGGGCTATATTTATATATATTTATATTTTTCACTTTCCATTACTTTTATTCTCACTCTTTTTATTCCAGAATGAATATCAATATATCAGATCTTTTTAGTGTTAAGGACAAGGTTGTTCTTGTTACGGGTGGTTCCAGAGGTATTGGTGAAATGATTGCTACAGTATGTAAATTTTGAAAAGTAAACATACGTTGTATTTATCAATAATAAATTAAATTAGGGTTACGTTCAAGCTGGTGCGAAAGTTTATATCAGTAGTCGCTCCGCAAAGACCTGTGATGAGGTAAAAATAGTGAATACATCTCAAGAAAATATACTTATGCTAGGGGTAGACTGCTGCCAGATTGACAACTCTAGGACCTGGTCAGTGCTTTGCGCTCCCTGCTGACTTACAAAAAGTTGACGATATCAAGAATCTTGTTCAAGAATTCAGAAAATTAGAAGATCGTAAGCTAGATGCCTCTTGATAAAATCAACAGTTAGACTAACAATAAGCAGATCTTGATGTGTTAGTTAACAACGCGGGAGCTACGTGGAATGCTCCACTGGATGAATTCCCTGATTCTGCCTTTCAAAAGATTGTAAACTTGGATCTTAATCGTGTTTTTACAATGATCCAGGCGTAAGTATTTTTATTTATTTTTATTTTTTAAAAAAAAACTTGACCTTAAAGATACCTTGTAGTTTTATTCCGTTGCTAAACGCAAAGGCTACCCAAGATTCACCATCACGTGTGATTAATATTGGTTCTGTTGCTGGTGAAACTGTAAGTCTATTTTCTCATTAAATCAGTTCAAAAGACTCTTTTTCATCTTTTTTATAACATCTTATGTTAAGGTACCGGGAAACGAGATTTATTCTTATTCTGCAGCAAAAGCAGGTTTGCATCATTTGACCCGGCACTTATCCTCTAGATTGGCTAGGCGAAATATTCTTATTAATGCTGTTGCTCCTGGTTCTTTCCCCTCAAAAATGATGGCAGAGACCCTTCGTAAACACAGCGATGAAATTATTAGTGGAATACCAACAGGAAGAATAGGAAATCCTGAAGATATTGCTGGTGCATGTCTGTATTTGTCATCTCGTGCAGGTCAGTACATTGTAGGTGCTGTTATTGTACTTGATGGTGGTGTTATGCACAACACTTCCCGTATATAATAAATTAATGAATTTGAATGGATTTAATGAACAATATATATATAGTATATTGCATATAATACAAAATGCAATTTGTTCGGTAGTGAAATTCATGATGTGAATGCGAGTAACCATTTCAAGATGACTATATGCTGCGGTTATCAGAACTTGTATTTTTAATTTTGATATCTTTAATAGTTGATTTATATGTTTGCTAAAAGCCAAAAAAAAAAGTATTTTGATCAATAAGAGGATGACTACATCCTGGGTAATTCAATAATTATCATTTTGCTACCCAACCTTACTAAGATAGAGTTCGTATGAATTCATAGATATGAGTTTCAAAATAGCTTCCAACATTTCTCTATCAAAAATCACATCAAATACAATTTGTCCATTTGCCAATTGAAACATATGGAGTCAGATAAATATTATTTTAAATTAAAGTTGAACTTATGGACTTTGGAATTAAATGAAAGGGAAAGCATGTTTTGTGTATATATTTGTCGTTTTTGATATAAATTTATATTAAAAAAAATTGACATACTTATTATTGCGTGGTAAAAATGTTATATATGTTGGAAAGAATGATCATTGGCTTAAAATAGATAATAATACATGCTCTTTCAACATGTTTCTAGTACGATGTGTTTTCTCTTCTTTCTTTAGAAAACCAAAACATATGATATATTCAAAAATAAATACAAGACATGTATGGGAAAAGAAAAACGTTTATAAAAATAGACATTCAAGCTCCTATATAATACACTGTTGTTTACATTTTTATATATATAGAAAATACATGCTTCTAGTATACAGATAATATTACAAAGAGCAATACACTCCAGAGAATAGGTGAGTAATGTACATTTACATTAGCTGAGTTACTCACAATATATGCAGCAGTTGTGCCTTTAACCGAGCCTGTAGTGTTAGTGGCGGATGCAATGCCCACTCTGTTGTTACCAATATCAAATACTAAATATGAACTGCGAAGAACAGAATCACCAATTAGATAGATATTGTTTCCGACGCTAGATCCGGAGGGAGCAATACCAAACAAACAATGCATTGAATTTTCAGCCGAGGAACCGTCTAATGGGATAATTAGGTCAGAGACTGGTAAAGATAATGTGATAGGGTTTGACGAATCCGATCCTGACATAATTAAATCAAATTGAGCTGTGGAGTTGGCTTTATCACAATCAATTATATAGGTGCCAGAGGATGAATCTGTTGAGTAGCCATCTTTTCCAGCTATAGATTCAACCACAGTTTGGGCCATATCTGAAGGTAAATAAGTAAGGGTGGTGCCTGTATCAAGGATATAAGCGGAAGTGGATGAAAATGAAATATTGGCCAAAATATTATTACTGGAATCTGTCACTGCAACACCTTGTGCACTGACCATCCAATAATAGTTGCTACCACTGGAGCTAGACTTTTTTGAGTTGGAGCTACTTAGTGGAACAACTGGCATATAAACAAGGTCTCCTGAATATTTTGATGAATCAACTCCACCGAAAATAATTTCACCGACCCAGCCGTCCTTGTCGGCATTGTTTAAATAAACTGAAAAAACGGAGTCAGATATAACTTTCTGATCGACTAAATTAAAAACGAAAGGGTTATAGGCGCCTTGACCATCGCTATAGGCTGCTGTCAATTTTGGATAACCTAATCCGAAGATACCATTTGCGGTCGTACTTGCGGAGGTAGTAGTAGTGGCGGAAGAATGAAGTGTCAAGTTACCGAGCTTGGCGGGCTTGGCATCTGCTGCAGTTACAGTATTTTGGTTAGTGAGAATACTCTCTGTTGATGATGCTAAACCAAACTGTTGGTTTGATACTGATGCTCCAGCAACAGTTACAGTATCTTTTACATAAGTTCCGTTGACACTACCGATGCCATAAGTCAAAACAAATTCTTTATCTAAAGATTTATAGGTGCTGGACTCTGAGTGTTTAAATGAACCATTTGGACATTCTGACGTAGGACAAGAGTCTGAAGGTATCCATAAATCTGAGCTATAAATTAATAACAGCAGGATGGTGTATATAAATATAAAAAAAACATAACTATTTAGCCATCTTCTTTTTGGAATATGAAGGATAATACGGAAAAATAAATTTACCTGCCAGTGTCTAGTGTTACTGTAAAATTTTGCCCGGGAGTCCCGATGCTTACTTCAATTAAGTATTGGGAGCCCATATCATTAAAAAGTGATGCTATATATGAGTCTCTTTTATCAATGCCATGTTGTTTTTGAAAGGCTGAAATAACAGGGTCTGGGCGTGATGTGCGTTTTACAGGTACCCTTAAAAGGTTGTCATTTTTTATTGTGTAGCCATATATAGAGCTCACTAGAGTGATGACAACAGTAAGAGTTGTTGTTGATATATACATAATACAAGGTGCAATTTATTATTAACTGAAAAAAGAAAGAAAAGTAAAGAAAAGGAACAAGAGAAACAGTAATTTATTTATTTGTTTTATTTATATATTTTTCAATTAAAAAAAAAAGGACACCCTTTAGCTGAAACAATTAACGTCAATCTATTCTAGAACAGCAAGATATGTATTAATGGAAAAAGAAACTGAGTTTTTTATATTGTTAATCCGCCAGTTACTCTGCTTCTTCTAAAAGTTGCCAAGCATAAATTTGAAGGTTAATTATAGGTTTTTGTACACGATCATTTTCTAAATAGAGAAAAAAGCATCGAATCTTAAAATGAGCAATCCTAAAAAAGAGCTCTAGGAAATAGTGTGATACCAATCATTAATGTTATTAATAAAAAGCCAAGGAAAACCTTCTTCCTTTATTATGCATGTTTATTTTCTAATGTTTTTTTTTTCTCTTGGGTTTATTCCAGATAATAATAGCTTACTCTTTATTACACCTAACCTTGAGTTTTAATTTTCATTTTGTCAATATAAATGTTATTAATTATAAATCCACGTTTTATATATATTTAACAAATTTTATTTTTTTGGTAAAGTTTTTAGTGTTAATTAGTTGAATTTCAAGACGATGATACTTTTATTTTCACTCACTCAATTAAATCATAAATGAATCAAGAAATAGACTAAAACTACTATTTTATTGTTTGGATTTAAAAAGAGTAAAGCATATAAAATAGTATATGAAAAAAAAAAAATACTTCTATATTAGACAAATGTATAATAACTATTTATGTATAACGAAGGAGATCTTGATTTTTAAATAAGGAGTGAAAGGGGGTACACTACAGTAGAACGAGGAAAGAGTGTATAGCCAAAAGCAGTAGGCAGTAGCTTGGTCGGAGTTGGTTTGAGCGGTTACTTTCTTGATGGTCCAGTGAATAATATCCATTTGCGGCAGCGCCAATCGCAACCTGGTAGTTCGACATATCATGAACAACATATGCACTTCGTAGTACAGTCTGGCCCAAAATCCACCCAGAGCCTACCGATGCCTTAAAACTGTCTGAGGAAGGTGCGATACCAAACATACATTGTTCTGTTTTCCCCTCTATGGGCAGTATTAATTCATTTAAAGGGACACTGATTAACACAGGACTAACCGTAAAGGAAGTCAGCGAAGTTGAAAATTGAAAGTCGAGCCATATATCTGATTTTGCCAAACTGCAGTTTACCTGGTAGGCAGGAATCGATCCTCCATTCAGGGGTAGCGGTTTATAGTCCGATGTAACTGACTTTAACACTCCAATGGCCATATCAGTCGGCAAATACGACAATGTAGTACCAGTATCTAGAATGGCCGGTTGTAAATCAGGATACTCTGATTGGTAGACTGTACTGTTGGAGTTGTATACACGCACACCCTGACCAGGTACTGTCCAATAGCGATAGTCGCCTGTTCCAGTAGCAGCATTTCCTACAATAGGATTTGAAGATCTATCGTAGCTAACAAGAGGTATAAAGGATAAATCGCCGTGAAAGCGGTCTGTATCATACCCTCCTAATATAATTTCCCCGGTATAGCCGTAGTTTGCTTGTTTGTTGAGATAAATGGAGAAAACTGGCTGATTAATTACTTTATTGGCTAATAAATTTAATATAAAAGGAGGATCATTTGAATTACTACTAGAACTTCTCATTAAGGCAGGAAATCCTAGTCCCAGTATCCCACTAGGTTTATCGCTGGCCGATCCCTGTGACATTCCGGAAGTCGAAGTAGCCAACCCAAATAATTGATTTTGTGCTGTGATGTTGTTTAGAACGGTGACTGTATCATAAGCAAAAGTACCATTGGCAGCACCACTGCCATACTGAATAGAAAAAATCTGTTTGGTCTGTTTTAGCGAGGAGGAGCCGGATTCACTAAAACGGGTATTAGGACAGTTTGATTTTGGACAGTTAGAAGATGGAACCCATAAATCTGAGCTAAATAATAATAAATTTTAATAAAAATATTAAGTCAAAATGTTAGGTTTAGACCTGGTATAGTTAACGCTGTTTCATCGTTCTTTTTTTTATGAGTTTTGTTGAGATTTTTACCTTCCTGTGTCTAGCGTTAAATTAAAATTTTGAGGTGGGTTGCCTATACCGATCTCAATGAGATATTCTCGTGCGTTTGCATTATAAAGAGGAATGTTGGGTAAATAATCACGCCTTTTTAATGAATAGCTGGGATGTGTGTTCTCTTTTATTGGTAAACGTATTAGAGCATTTATCACGTTTACCAATAAAAGCAAAATAAATAAAAACATAACAATAATATACAAAAGAACAAAACTAAAATATAAGTGTAGGAAAAGGAGAGAATTAGAAATGATACATTTTATATCTATAAAACGTATCATTTACTTGAGATCAAAGATGGCAAGTGTATCAACAAAAAACCAAAAAAGGAAGTCGTGTGTAACGTTTAGTGTGTGTGTGTGTGTGTGGTATTAATGTGATATTACTATTATTATATGATTTTATTTACGCATAACTTCACGAGCCACGGATGTATTTAGTAGTGATTTTGCAACATCCACATGGGGTTTTTTCACGTCTCTTTGGGTGATCCAAGTGATTTTTGTAACAAAAGGCTTTAATTTATCTACAATTTCCTCTCCATCATCATTTTCCAAACCACCTTCAATATGATTGAAAGGTTCAATGTGTCGAATAATATGAATTTTGCCTTCCTCTGTTTGGCAGAACAATATCTTTCGACTGTCGAGACCTGCATCGGAACTAAACAATCCTTCGTCCATCAATAAACGCTGAATAGGATATGAGTCTTCTTCTGTATTGACATGTATAATAATATAAATATCATAAATTAAAGAGAGGTGCATTAATAATTCAGCTGTGTTTTCATGAAACGATCCTTTAGATAACGCAGTCTATATGAATCCATCGTTAATGTCATGAAAACCTCGTTTTAAGTACTTTTTTTTTATATATTACATTTTGTAACGAAATTGTCATTTTCTTCCTGCTCTTTCGGACGCCTGTCAAGCTTCCAAATAAGGTATTTTGTTCATTTAGTAGCGATGCATCCTATATGAGTATTACGCTGTATTAGAGGTGTTTTTTCGTTTCTCTCACTCTCTCTTCTATTTCCATTATTTTACCTCATCGTCGTGATCAGATGAGTCATGAGTAGATCTGTCTATTCTGCGTCGAGTTGAACCTCTTTTATACAAGTAAAGAGAAAGGCTAACAAGAACAGTAGCCAACGAAGAATAGCCAATAAGAGGCAGTACCCAACGAGGGAAAACCACCTTCTTTTGTTGAATATTAGACATTATTGTATTTAGGAGAAAGAAAGGGGATTGAACGAAATAAATTACACTGGGAATTAAATGTGGGGACGGAATCCAAGGGAATTCAATGACAAATTCACATGTTAAAACCAATTGAAATTCAGTGTGTAAATAAGACAGTGTGGCTTATGATGAGAAAGTTCTCATGTCAGCGTATATAGATTCATAGCAATCCTTTATTTACTTGTTGTGTTTATTTATAATGATTCATTTATTTATATGTAGCAAAGTGTTTATTCTTCTTCGTGGTAAAAACGGCATTCTAGTTTTTTCCTTTTTCAAAATCGAGTATATTTAATCATTATCACTACTGGAACTCGAAGCGCTCTCCTCTTCCTCATCTTCTTCTAGAACAAACATCAATCGTTACCATTTGATTCTCTATTTATATAAACAATCACACACTTACTAAATAATGCACGCAGTGACATTGGACCTGCTCCTGTATTACCCGATGCATTTCTTGTAGGCGTTGGTGTATTCACTGAACTATAAGGTGATATTCCAAATGTAGACGGGGAAGGAGCGGACATTCCATTTGTATTTGATGAGCCTGGAGCATGTTGAGGAGAGGGAGGCGCTGATGGACCATCTTTTGATAAACTTAACGAGATATCCTGAGCCAAAGATTCAAAATCCTCATCATCACTACTTCCACTCTCACTCTCGCTCTCACCACTACTTGAAGACCCTGTTTCGGTACTTCCTGATTCAGACCCTGAGCTCGATTCTTCTGAACCAGACGAAGAGCCCTCCTCATCATCAGATTTATACTTCTTGGGCTCAACCCGAGACACTGGAGGTGGTGTTGGTACTGCTGCAAGTGGTGATAGTGTACCTGGATGTCGTATGGGCGCAGAAGCCATCTTGAATTTACGTTTCTTTGTCTGCGCTGCACCATTGGCTGTGTTGTTATTGGAAGAAGTAGGAGTAGTAGCAGCAGCAGTAGAACTGCTTGCAATTGGTGTACCCGGTAGTTGTAAGTTTGTTGGTAAACTAGGCGAAGCAACTACTTGAGGAAGTGAAGGTGTCACCGGTAAGCTCATAGGTGATACTGATTCGCCATGGCTGGAATAAGAAGGAGGTAATGCAATTGGAATAGCCGATATTTCTTCAAACATATCCTCTTCAGATTCAGATTCACTGTTATTATTATTATTGTTGTTGTTGTTGTTACACCTATTTTATCCTAGTTTTACAACGAAAACTACGACTAAACCTTGGACTTCTTATAGTCACACAACAATAAATATTGGTACTGTGGTTCCATTCGATAAAAAGTCAATCTCGTTGTCGCTAAGTTTTTCTCACGAACTCCTTGGGTCACATAATTAAACCAAGTTCTCAAAATCTTAACTTGCATAACCACGACATTAATCGGAAAGTGCATTTTCGTGACTTCTACATCTTCTCCCACGATAATAACTTAGTGGGTAACACCTATCTTTCTTCCTTTTACTCGTCTGTTAACACGGACGCTGTCTACCTAGACTACTAAAACTAAAACTGTAATGATTTCTGTACCTACTCTAAAACCCGCTACTACTTCTTCTTCTTCTACTCCTACAACTTTACTGACTTCATGGCTAACTTCGGTTGTAATTATTATCGTCACGATTATTATTGTTA